TCCAGCATCCTCCGTGGCCTGTTTGTTGGCTAGGCTGCCTGCTTCAGTGAATCGCCCAGAAGCTGGAGAAACAAGTTTAGATTCTGAACTTCCGAGGAAAAAGACTAGATGAGAGACCTCTTTGGAAGATCAAAGGCAGAGTTTTGAAAAACGACGGAAGTGGGATTTTCTAGGAAGAATGTTTTGATTGGACAGTGAGGATTATAGTTTGAGATAAGGGGGTGAGGACCACTTTTCCACCTATGTGGGATAGGACATTGTGCTTTTCTAGGAGGTGGGGCAGCATGACTAGCCTTCTCTAAGTAATAAAAGGGCAGATGATGGCTTGAGCTGGACAGTTTGTGATGACAGTGATTCAGAACCTAGTGGGCGCTACCGAGTGGCTTTGCTCTGAGAACTTTTCTGTATTAGGTCCAGGTGATCGTATCGCAGATAAGCACCAACGTTTTTCCCAGTGAATATTTACTCAGTGGCTTCATCTTTATGGAACTTAACTTTCCATGTTTTCACCCTGGCCATCTAGAAACTATTTCTTGCAAAGCACAATCCTCCTTTTGTTTCTCCAGGTATTTTAACTTTTCCTTCCACCCACTTTTCATCATCGGACACTGAGTAGGAGAACCCAGGATATGTGGTGGGTAGCATAGCAAAGAAGAGAATGCTGTTTTCTGAAACTGTTGCCATTAGAAGGTTATTGTTTCTTTTCTAATCACTGGAAGACAGTCAGTGGAGATGATGGTTCCTTGGACGAAAATGTGTGGAGAGTCTGAGGTGAGGCCCCAGGTAACAGGCGACAGGAGGCCGGATAATACACCAAAACGTTTGGTTGTGCACCAGCCACAGATCTCCTCTCTTTGCTCGATACTGTAGGACTTGGAGTTACGAGTCCATGGATTTTAATTTTTGCTAATTAAATACAAGAGGGGAGGGGCAAAGTTAATACTCCTCTGTTGGCGTTAGAAAAAATTGGAAAACCCAGGGCTCCAGACCTTAATTTTAAGTAGTGTGTTTCATTTTCCATCTCAGAAGTCTTTAGGTAGAGTGAGCTCTTCGATGCTGGAGAGAGAAGCAAGCAGAGGGCCTATAGCTTTCCTTTAATAGCTTATGGAAAGAGGAACCAATGTTAGTAAACAAGGAAATAATTAATTCCTCCCAGAAGTAAATATTGACAAGACGTGGAGAGACTATTCACTGCACGTATACAAATGACAGGACTTTGTGACCTTCACTTTGACTATCAAGCTTACAGAATCTTCACTGTCATTGAGGAGTCTGGTCACATAAAACTCTTGGCAAAGGGCAAATGAATGGCATAGAACTAGAAAGGCAAAAATAGCAATTCTAGAGATATTGGCTGCTATTAACACCTATTTAACAGTGACCAGGAGCGTCAACAAGTAATATGTTGGCAGTGCAGTTGTGAACAGACAGGTTAATTTATGAAGAAAACTTTCTGAACAATCCTTAGACTGTGGGCATTACATCCCGTGGTAGGAGGTATTCAGTGATTTGGTGCAGTTTTCTGTGTTTTGTGCGACTTAAGATGCGATGATCTGGATGACTGAGGGAACAGCTTGGGGGGTGCGGGGGACAGGCATTATGAAGTTGGGGGAAGTAGATAAAACAGATGAACCTAAAAAGATAATGGAGTGGGAGGACTGAAGAATGACAAATGGGAGAAGGGAAAAATATTGAATTCGTTTTAGGGCAACTATGTCATCCTTTGAAGAATGATCCAAAACACATTCCAGACATTAATTGTGAAATTCCTGAAAAATGTGGGTGTGTAATACCTTTCAGGCTGTGGCACTAACATGAGACATGCCAGTGCCGCTTTAGCGTGTAGGTACCGTCGGAGAGGAGATGGGCAAATGAGTGGCAGGTAGATGTTTGGTGAAGCACGTTCCTGTAACACTGTTTTCTATATGGCACATGCATTCTCAGGATTTGGAGACACCCCAGTCAAAGCTCAATTAATTATTTGAGGAAGAAACAGCAGACTAGCCAAGCATGCATGAATAACAGACTGAAAGCCTTCCTTCTCAGAGGTTGAATTCTCCAAAGCTGAATTTTCAAAGATCTGACTTGTATTTGCCTATAAATCAATCAGTCTTTCATGGATCTTCTGCTCTGTACAAGGCCTTTTGCTGGGGCCGGGGGGAAGCTGGGGGCCCTGGGACTTCTCAAATGTGTTCCCTACCCTTTACACTAAGATAAAGAATAAGGCAACAAGACGTTAAAAAGTCTGCATAATAATGTAAGTTCAAGCCAAGGAGAAGTGAGTTCATGTGTCTGTATATGATTAGTTGGTGAGTGAAATGTGGGTAAAGTTTGTTCTAGGAATCACAAGGTCTGAGGTGATCTTTTCAGGCTCTGGTGGCAAAGCTCTTGAAAAGGAGAGTTCGAATTCGAACTAGGTTTAAAAGTATAAGTAGAAGCTCTTTTTTTTTTGGTGGGGAGGGGATTCTCCCCATTCTTCTTAGAGCCTGTGCAATACAGGTCAGAGTTTCCCAGCATCTAAGAATGAGGCTGCGTTCTTAACCCTTTACTAGCTGTGCTTCAAAACAGCAAGTTTCCTTTTGAGAGTGATTTTCTCTTTGTTCCAGCTTGTTCCTCTAGGCAGTGAGCGTGGGCAGTGAACTGAGAGGTGTCCCTTTATCAGCATCTCCCGACTTCACCCACTCCCTGCTGCTTGTCCTGGCCAGTCAGCCTGGTCACATCATGGAAAAGCTCCTTGTTTGGACAAGACCTCTTTGGTCTTGTGGACGGAGGAGTGGTTGACTATACTTAAGTTTAAGAATGCCCTCAAGGTAAACAAACACTGGTAAGTGTTCATTTTGGGCTCACATGAAAAACAGTCAAAAAGATCTCCTTTTTTCCTGTTAGTTACAAAAGGAACAGATTTCAGTTCCTTTCCCGCTCCCCCAACCCCAATTAGTTCTCCATGCAAAATACTTATAAAAGAGTGTACTGGTTAGAAACTTGGTTTCTGGGTCAAGTCTGCAGTCTGCTTCTGAGCGTCTCAGTTTTCTCATCTGTATGGTGGGGTTAATAATGGGGTTGCTCTGAGGACTCTGAATGAACTCTGTGAAGCACTTACAAGAATGACATGCGGTAAACACTTAACAACAAAGCTACCAACCAGTGTAAATAAAATAACTTGATATGGGCTCGTTCTCTTGTTCTGCTTAATCCTCATCTACCTGAGTAATTGATCATCTAAGGAGTTGAGCTCCTAGAAAGACAGTGAATTATTATTGAGTTCAAGTCCCCGCCCTCCACCCCAACACCATAAATGCATTAAGTTAAAAAAAATTATTTAAAGGCCTCTGGAGCTATTTGCTATCTTTCCTCCTGAGGCCCATTTGTTATACTCTCTCTAAATAATTTCTACAAAATTTGTGTATTTGGGGTAAAAGTAAAGAGGGAGGAATCTGAAATTTTTTGCATTGTCATAGGAATTGTAAATTTAACCATTTATTGGTGGGCTAATATTTCTTTCCTTTGGGGATGAAGGGGGCACCTAAACTCAGTATAATCATTGTACATTTTCACATTGTGCATTTTCCTTCACATTGTATTCTGGAAAAAGATTTTGCTTCTGGCTCCCGGAGTGTTCGCACTGGTGATCACTGTGGGATTTGGCCTGGCTTGAGCCAAGGAAACAGCTTGTATTGCTGCAGTATGCCGGTGTCTGGGCCCCAGTCCACCTGCTGCTGCAATTGGTACCAACAGGCAAAGCCAGAGGTCAGATGTTTAACACGTCCATTCCTCCGTCCTCTTTCCAGCCCTACCTGTGTCCTTACCATCCTTCCACCCACAGGCGTTTACTGAGAGCAACTGCCATGGGTCTGCTCTTTGTGATGTATAGTAATGCTACTTCTCTAAGCTTCAGTGTCCCTAATAATAGTAATAGGTAGCACCTATGTTAGCTGTGAGGCTCAAATGAGATAAAACTGTGCTTCTGAAATTTTAATGTGTACACAAATCACCTGGGGATCTCATTAAACATGCAGGTTCTGATTCAGTAGGTCTTGGTGGGGCTTGAGACTCTGCATTTCTAATAAACTCCCAGGTGATGCCAATGCTGCTGGTCCCAGGACCACACTTTGAGTAGCAAAAAGCTAGCACACGTAAAGCCTGTAGCACAGTGTGGCATATAAGACCTGATAATGTTACCTGCTATTAGAATAATTATTTTTCAGCCAAAATAAATAAGAGAGGGGCCCTGCTTTCACAGAGGTCATGGGCTCATGGTAGATAGCTGAGACGATTGATTATTGACTAAGACAGTTACTCACAGCTGTTGAGCCCTGAGATAAGGAAGTGTTAAGTATCTCAGGAGCAACTAAGAGGGCTCCTAACTCTGCCTCTGACCACCAGGAGGGATTTACTGGAGGGGGCGGCACCCAGCGAGGCCTGGAGGTCTCCTGGCCTCCCCCCTCCTCCTCCTCCTCTGTGCAGGAAGTTTTAGGAAAAAGAAAATAGACTTTGGGGCTAGACAAACTTATGTTCAAATCTCAGCTCTGTTACTTTTTAACTGAACAACCAACTTGCTTAGTTGTTTTGGCCTTCAGTTTCCTCATCTGTGAAAATGGAATAGTAATAGCTGTCTGTCAAGTCAATATTATAGTGAGGATTGAAGAGAATTAATACATATATAATATATATATGATTACATCGCGGGGGGGGGGTGTGTGTGTGTATGTGTATATAATGGCTAGTATAGTTCCTGGTACGAAATAGACTTTTAGAAGGTAATTAATATTCTAATTTCCATTCTATTTTCTGTCCTTTCTCATTTTCTTTGTTAGCTTTCTCTAACTTTTTGAAACATCTACTTTGTGGGCTGTCTCACACCTCCTCCACACTTAACTAAGTCTCTTGGGCAGGGGACTCAGAGGAGGGATTCTGGTCTCAGATGTTTGTCAGAGAGAAAGGGACTGTGAAGTAGTGAGAACAACAGGCCACGAGTCCAGGGTCTCTGGACCAAGAAAGCATTTATTGGTTCGCTCCAGTACGACTGTAATTTCTAGCCCCTTTGGTGTTTCAGCAGGATGTGGATATTGGCTTCATGTTGTGGTTTGAATCCTTACTTCTAGAGAGCTCTCTGTCATTAATATTTTTTAAAAGGTGACATATCTTAATATTGATGGCATATGGTTTTATGAACATGAATTAAATTTCCTTTTATTGTTGGAGGTTTTCGGTGGGTTTTGAGACGTTGCTGGAGACATTCCAAGGCAGGGTTGGGATCACCAGGGTTGCAGCAGGAAGCAGCAGGCCCAGTGGCTCAAAGGCAGGATGGGCCTGGGAGTGAGCAGGAGATGGCGCGTGGCCCGGAGTACATCACGTTGCTTTTCTTGATCCTGTGCGTCCCATTCATCTTTCATGGGGACTAATACTGCAGCTTTACCGTGGATTTGCATTGTGGTTTCTCCGGAGAGTCTCTGTGCTGCCGTGGAAGGCTGGAAAAGAACGCCTAGAGTTATGATAGCCGACATTCTTGTCTCTTTAGTTTCCAGTGTAGGTGTGGTCCCACTTTAGGAAGACAGGACTATAATTCTTCCTTCATGCCTGGAAATAAATATTGTTTTTATCTAGTAAATAAGGGCTTAGAACTCACAAGGCAAATGCTTTATGTTGGCTATTATGGAACAAGGAAAAAGAACTCAATGAAGATACCATCCTTGGAATCAATAGTTTACTACTCTTTATTTCCTTCTTGACAACCAAACCTTATTATCACACAGTAGAAATTGAGTTTTTTCCCCAGAAACTCATTTAGTACCTATCATGGTAGTGGCTCTATCTTTCATCAAGAGTGCTCATATTCAAAAGTGTAACCTACAAGCAAGATGAGATAAACTTCCAAATTTCAGGGTTTCTTTTAAGTATATTTTGTGAAATCCAAAAATGACACCCTAATTTGAAGTATCCTGGGAACATTTGTCTTACGAACACTTAGGAAAGAAAACTTAGTGTTAATTATACTTTAAGGTGTTGTCATTTTACATTTCAAGTTCCTGGGAAGATAATTTGAAGAGTCTACCGTTTGGAAATTTTAGCTAAGTCCCGAACAGCCAGCCTCTCTGGCTGTAGCAAGGTAAGAAAAAATAAATAAAAAAGATGTAGGCTGTAACTAGAGACTGCGCCTGTCTTATTTAGCATTTCAAAACAAAAACCATAAACAAACATCTCAGATTCAAAACAGAAAGGAATTTCTGGCAGGGCAGAATGAAACCTGAGCCTGTGAAGTCCCGTCTAGAAGAGGTAACTTATTTAGCTGCTTATCCAAAGGCCACAAGCGAAACAGTTCACAGCTGTGATAAAACAAAAGGCATCTCAATATTGGAGAGTTGTGATACCTCCTTTTTTTAAGATTCCAAAAGACCTGCCAAAATAAGGCAAAGCTACCTTGAGGGAGTTTGACCTGAACTAGACGTTCAATATGAAGAATTAATTGGACCCCTTCAGATCTGCAACATGTGAGGAATCGTACCTGTGGGGAGTGTGGGCTCGGTCCCCTCGGAGCGTGTGTGTCTAATTCTGCAGAGGCAGAACGTTCCGTCATCTCCTCAGATGCAGTTCTTGAAAACCTTCACGTTGTTTCCCCTTTCCTCACTTTCTGCTCTTGGGAGCTTTGCTTTTTTTAAGGTCTGGGCATTCACATTCTGAGTGAGGAAAAAGGGATAGATTCTAGACAGCTTTATCTCTGAAAACCAAAGTAGAAGGATTTTTAAATGGTTTGAGAAAGATTGGTTATGCTGTGTGTTTTTCAGAACCACTGAGTTCTTTTATGTTAGACAAATTTTAGGAAAATTTATTACCACTGTCTGTGACATAAAAATGAAAGGCCAAATCAATTTCCGTATTTTAATCAGAGGAATGAATGAGCCTGTATATATCCTACTTTGTTGCAGGAAGGATTTAAGTCTGCTCAGGAAGGTAAATATCACAAAATTCTTGTACGTGAGAATAGCATGATAAAGGAGAAAAAAATAGCCGTGGCTTCCCGATCGCCCTTCATCCTTTAATCGCTCAGTGACTTCAATAAAACTCGACTTCCCTTGACTTTATTTTGTCTTAATTTGTCAAAAGGGAATTAAATAGTTACCTACCTGAAGGCAAGGGAACTGAACCAGATGATATCTTAAGGCCTTTCTGGTCATAAGATCCGTGTTTTTGTGATCTGGAAGTGCTGGGCAGGAGTCAAATATTACCTTGTGTTTGCAGAGCCGGGGAAGGAAAAAGTGGGATTGTCTACAGGACTCTCTGCCAAGTGCTGTAGACGGAAGGGCTTGGAGGAAAAGATCAAGGGTTCGCCCATAGTTATGTTTACCGTGAGGTGGTGGAGACAGCAAAACAGAGTTATTGGGAAGTCACTGACATCTTTTAACTGCCAGCAATCTTTAAGCCGTATTAACTGTGGCCTAGCCTGGATTCAAGGTAGAATTTATGCCTCTCTTTTATGTCTCTGCTGGCCTGCTGCCTTCACTCTTTCTCCATTTTCTCGTTTACTTCATTAATTATTAGGACTGTGAGGTAGGTAGGTGACAGATACTGCACAGGGAGAAGCTTGAGCAAAGACAGGCCAAAACTTGCCCAAATTCACATGCTCATTTCTGCCTCTGACACTAGGAGAGAGTTGAGTAATTGCTGTTCTTCCTAATACTGCAGGCAGCAGCCAAATTCTCAGCATTCTTTTACCTTTGCTGCTGTTTTCACTTGCCAGGGAGTTTCCTTAAGGAGCAGCCTGAATTTAAAGAAACAGAACAGTCATAGTGCATGGAAGGAGGGGTAGTGTGGCACTTGGGTGCCTCATCTTGGGAGGCTGAAATGATTAGTGTCTGCGGTGGGACATCCTGCTCTATGCTGGCTCCCTTACCTCTGTGTGTCGCTGAGCCACGGGACCAGGAAGCTCTTTGCGTCTGTGTGAGACAGCACATCTTCACTACATATGTTTCAAGTACAGGCTAGCTGTGCAGCCTGGGAAGTTGTCTCTTGAGAGTCCAGAAACTTCACCCTTCCTTTGCATGCTGTCCAGCGGCAGGACACCCAGTGAAGTTAGGTGGTGTGAATCTGTGGCTCTGAAACTTGATGTAATGCATATTATTCCGAAGTATGTGGCGCTCAGCACAGCCCACAGCGTCCGCCAGCAATCAGCTTGCTTTGCCTTGTGGATATTACATTTTTGCCAAGAGCAGCCTTCCAGAATGAGGTGCTAGTTAATTCCAGTCGGGCATTTATTCGTTAATAAGTCTGCTGAATTCTAAATACTCCATTTGGGAGTATGTGACATGAGAAAACTTAGCCGCTAATTATTATGTAGATCTCTTCTCTGATTCTCACTTTCAATGCAATTACCTAAGCCACCAATCCCTAGCAGTATGAATTTATTTGATTTTTTATTTTCTGTAATATTTTCCTTTTTGTTCCCAAAGATTTCTTTTTGGTCCAATCTGTAAAACTGCTATAAATTTGCTAAGAAGTGGGTAGACATTATATATTGTTTAACAGAAAACACTTCTAGTGTGGAGTACTGTGGCTTGCTCTGTCTTTCCTTCTTTTCTTTTTTGAAGATAATATCAAAAGTTAAATCCTGCTCCGGATCTTATCCTCTCTCTTCCAGGGTAGATTTCTGGACAGCTAACAGTGGTGGCGTCTGAAATAGCCATTGAGGGGTGGATGGTGTTCATTTACTAACTGGAGCTTTTGCCTAAATAGGTTCTGCTTTACTCTTCTTTGGTATATCAATAGGTCTTTATTTGGTTTCCTTCCTGCTTGGTTGGTGCATATTAGCTTGAGGACTTTTAAACTATGGGGGCACTAACGAGAGTCTGAATGCCTGAGGCCGAATACCTCTCTCTTGGAAGCAGCGAGGGTTCAGTGTGCATTTGCTGCCATCAGAGTCTGTGCTAGAAGGTCTATTTAATACCTCCCATGCCCACGACTTTGTGCTCTGATGTGGGCTCCTTCTCTGGTCAGTCCCTGCCACGACTCAGTGCAGGCTGGATCTCCAGTGCCCTGAGAGCCATTGGAAAGGCAGGCTTGCCAGCCGTCTTGCCATTTGCCTCCACGTTCTTCCCAGCATGGTGACATGCAGCTCTCCAGCGCTCGGTAACCCAACTATTAAGAGAAGTTGGGTTCTCTTCTAATAAAGGTATCTACACTAACAGGCTGGCGGAAGAGGATTTCTGGAGAAATGTTTGGAAGGGGAGCATTTGCCAGAACATAAAATCCATTTGACACTGAAATATGGTAATATGGATCAGAAGGTGATAAAGTGTCATAAAACAAGGCTCTTCACAAGGTTGTGGTAGACTTGCTGGCCTAGGAAGATGTGCCCAGGATGGTAAACCTTAACTGTAGCATCAGCAGCTGGAGCCCTGGTCCCGTTACAGATGTGACTTTGAGAGACAGGAAGCTGTGATAATTCCTTCTTTCAAGGTGTGGTTAACTTTGTGCCTTTGGATGGAGAGTGAGTCTGTGCGTGTGTGCGCGTGCATGTGTATTCAGTTGCTGAAGGCACAATACAGACGAAGAATACTTTGCATTGTATTACGGATGTGCTGAAAACAATTTGCGTGCTTGAAACAAATTAAATGTACTGTCTACTCTGTAAATCAGCAAACTGAGAATGACTTCTTAATAAAGATTGTGCATTGTTTTATTACATTTGAAAAAAACAATTCTAATTAAAGTGCTTTGGCTTTTAAACTGCCTGGTTAATTGGGATATCTATACATGGGCAAGTGGAGCTGAGGAAAACTACCTGACTTTATGTCATGTATTGGTGATTAGGACAAAAGTTGTATTAACTCTAAGGCTGTGTGAGATGGTTTATGGTAGGTTATCACTCAACATAGTTTTTGGTGTTATGTAGGAATTTTAGATGTGATGGCAGAGAGGAAAAGCAGAGATTTAGGGTGAGAAATGGAGTCACTATGTAGGGAAGTAAGCAAAATAAAAGAAGCCAGAGGTATTTTTTGTTGGAAAGAGATTAAATTATTTTCAAAGACTTATGTTGAGAAAAGGTGAGCCCTCAGCAACCGTTTATTGATTCTCTATTCAGGAAACTGTATTCGATGCTTTGGAAAGAGAAAGGAAAAAGACTCTCTGCCAGTAGAGTTCTGGAAAACTTGAGGGAGATAAAGTATTTACATGCTTTAATAACATAAAACATGTCCAAAAGAAATATATAATTACAGCTACATTTGGCACTGAAAATAGCCCATGTATTATATTTTTTAAACTGTGTGTGAATATGTAAGCATATGCCCTTGAGCCAGAAATGCTTGGGTGATACTGTTTCTTGAGAGAATGGAAAAGCAGAAGGTATTGGGAGCTACAAAGAGAGAAAAAACATAAAGGATGACTACTACTAAAGAAGGAACAGTGCACTTTTTTTTTCTTTAGAAGGGATATATTTCATATGCATAATGATTCCAACTTTACTTTTTTTTGGATGATCTCAGTATAATAAGCATTTAACTTCCCGGAGAGCCTTAGTAATTTACATGTTATTACTAAAAGCCCTCAGGTAAAGGAAAATTAGACTCCTAAATTCAGTACCTGACTATTCTCCTCTTCAAGGTTTAGGTTTTCCAGTTTTATTTCAGGTTTATCTTGAACAAACCCCTTTGAAAACTCAGAAAGTTAGGAGGTATGTTCGATAGATCCTAGTATCTGTTGCAACCGAAGGTGAGGGTCAAAGGCAAGCCACTGGAAAAGGTGCGGTGTTGGCTTTCAGATTCCCCGAAGTTATCTTCACATCCTTCCAAATGTGTTCTTATCCTTCAAACCCTACTGTTTTACGTGGCTTCCTTTGTGAAGCCTTCCTGCTCTGCCCAGGAAAAAATAATGTCATTCCCCCACCCCCTGGTGCCCATAAATAGCACTTTCTCCTTCTCTTGTTATAGCACTTTTCACTGTGTTGGAGTTCACATTTCTGTCTCCCGGGCTCATTGTGATCCCCTTGAGTGCCAGGATTGTGTGTTATTCTAGCACTTGGCACACAGGAAGAACTCAATGAGCATTTGTTGACTAAATCTAGACTCAAGGTCATCCAAGATATGATACAAAAACTTTTCCATCTGAACTGTTTGGTTTGCATTGTGGAAGCTGAAACAAATGACGCTACCTGTCAGGAGAATCCCAGTGAGAAGTGACATTATTGCAGAAGGAAGCTCAAAATGGGTTAACCGTGTCCCATGTCCTCTCCCTCTACCCCTGCCCCAAATCATTATTAGATTTTATTTTTTTTAATTTTGCTATGATGGGTTAGTTTCAGCTGTATTTATTTTGGCAAATATTTATAGAGAATTTTTATTTGTGAGGACTTTCCTTGCCAGTTTGTCATCAAGGTGTCATCTTTCATTCACCAACCCTTCATCAGCTTGTAAGAATTTTCCTTCCAGGCGGCTGCTTATAGCCTTCTGCTTACCACGGGGATCTAGTGCATCGAGCAGTGGAGATTCTGTGATCAGCTGCTTGTAAACAACTGATAAACAGTTATGGGTTACTTTATAGACACACTTCAGATGACCATATGAATAATTGATGATGATAAAGCAAACACAACTGTATTATCAACAAATCCAGGCTGGTGTCTTAAACATGTATGCTGACTAATCAGGAGGGAGTTTAATGTATTGAATGTTCAGTCCATGAGTGCAGTGCCAGTGAATGACACAACCCATTTCCTGCTCTAGGTGATCTCAGATGTCTTCAGGAATTTAACTATACAACTTCTTTGGGGAAGGAAGTCCTGAGCCACAGCATGAGGGTGGAAGTGTGTGACTGTGAATAATAAAAATGCCCCACAATGGTCTGAACAGGAAGTCCATAGGAATGCAATATAAGGAATTTAAGAAAGCAAAATCCCATTTGGATGTACTCCAAACCCCATGACTTCAGGGACCAAGGAATTCTTGATGACTGGTGGCTGGTGTCCCAACTTGTTACTTAGCAGTGTGGAGTTGTTTTTCCTACAGCCCTAGTCATGAACTCTTTGTTCTCTTTTCTAGAGGTCTTCAAGTGGTTTACAAATTAGGACAGAAAGACATTAGACATTTAAGGATACAACAGCAAATTACAGCCTTTGGGTGACGCGTTTAGAGCTAAGCTTTTTCAACTGCTAAAGAAGAGAGGTTGGGGGGCCATCCCGGTGGTATAGTGGTTAAGTTTATGTCACTCTGCTTAGGCAGCCTGGGTTCACAGGTTCAGATCCCCAGCGCGGACCTACACCACTCATCAGCCATGCTGTGGCGGCAACCCACATACAAAACAGAGGAAGACTGGCCACAGATGTTAGCTCAGATGAATCTTCCTCAAGCAAAAAGAGGAAGATTGGCAACAGATGTTAGCTCCGAGTAAATCTTCCTCAGGGAAAAAAAAAGGTTTGGCCAAGATAAAGTATACAGGGTCATAGACACATATACAAAATTATCCTTGGTATAAGCTTGGGCACCTATACCCTTTTATCAGTTGAGTGAATGTCCCCAGAGAGCCCCGTTTTCTTACAGCAGGGTTAATTTTGATGTATCTGCTGCAGCATGTCCCTTCACCTTTCCCATGTTTAAGATGCTCCTCTCTCCCCAGTTGGTGATTCTTCATAACGTTGGTGTCCAGTAACCCACTTGAGGACCTTTTCTTAATCACCACTAGTTGTTATAAAAGTTTCTGGAAGGGGGATAAGGGCAAGCTGGAACTGATGGCTAAGTAAAGTTATAGCTGTAGAGTTCAAATTCTCCATCATGCTTAGTTGGCGATGAAAAGTAAAGATTCTAAGCAAACTAATTTTTTGACGGTCCAGTGTTGATTTTCTTATAACTCTTAAAAACTATTTTTTTAACGTTTGTGTGGCTTCAGTACTATTGAAAGTCAGCTCCCAGACCTTGGGAGCAAGTGTGGTATCTGCAGAAGGAATATTTAACCTGATGGTGGATGCTGCCAGAATCGGAGACGTGTGTATCTCAGAACCCGTGATTCCTCAGTTAATTTGAGGTGGGAGGTGAAGGACTCGGAGCTGTTCGTGCTGCTGGAATAGCGTGTTTACCCTCAGTCTTTAATAAAATAAATGAATGGAGGCCTGGGAGGACTGGGAAACACGCTTGAAGGAGGGAGTGCCCCTCACGTTGTAAGCCAAGGTAAACAGTTCTTGTAACTGAAAAGTAGACTTCCTGGAAGGTGAGAACCAGAGAAGTGGGTGTGAAGTGCAGCCAGCAAGTACCATTTTCAGCTGTTGAGATAGCTGAGTTACCTGAGTCCTGAAAAGAACCTGTCAGTTATTTGGGGAAAATCAGTGTCTTGAACGGGCCTTTGACTGGCCTGTCGTGCCTACAACTGCACCCAGAGACAGCTCTTGGGGAGGAAAGGTCACTTTTGTGCTAGAGAAAGCAAGCAGATGGGGCTCTCTGAGGGGTAGAAATGAAGTCGTCAGTGACCTAGGGCAGCCTTGCAGGGGGGCCAGGGCACTGGCAGAATGCGGTGGGAAGGCGCCCCCGAGTCTGCATGGGATTTGGAGTAATGGAAACATAGACATTTTCTTTTCTGTCTGTCCTTTTTTACAGTGGAAAACTGTCATTACACTGGACAGCTGTGCACACATTGCACAGTATGTGATGTGTGTATATGCTTATGCACGCATCCCCATGTGCAATGTGCACACGTGTAAAGAGAATCCCTTACAGGGTCACGTTCTTGTCCTGATCACCTCTTTATGTCCATTCTTCTGTGATAGCATTTTCTTCCAGTTGGAGCTGTTAGGGTCTGTTAATTCCAATGGGGAAAAAAAATTCTGTCTCTAGCCATCATTAATTAATTTATATAAGTAAGTACATGTAGATTGTCTCCTAAGTGGCTTACCTGAAGCTGTGGGCACTTCACTCCTGAGTCCTCTCTTTTGCAGTTGATAAGGTCCCCATCAGGTTTGGAGTTGCTGATGTCCTGCCCATGCCATGTGTCAAGAAAGGAGTCCATCAGAAAGGACTGACACGCATATTCCCTGGAACTTTTCATCCTCAAAGATTCTTGGAGCTTAAGTGGGAAAGGGCCTTGCCTTGTAAAAACAGACCCAAGTCCCTTTAATGGTCAGTCAGAAAGGGTTACCTAAATTCCCTCTCTGTAGTTGGTTTCTTGAACATCTTATTTCCCGTAACTAGCTATGTGTGCTAGGGCCAAATATTTGGTCCACTGCCTTCGTTTTAAGGAAATTATTGTAAAGGCGACATAACTCTACTAAACACTTTTGGAAATAGAGAAGAAAAACAATGGTCCCAAACGCTCTTGTTCCAAACACAAGAACCAGTTTTGTGTCTTTGCACATGTGTATATAAATGTATATATACCCTATCTAGTCTTTCTCTTTAGACATATATTTTTATCATACATCTTGTATCTTGCTTCTTTCCACTGCAAATTATATCAAATGTATGTTCCTACATAGTCTCCATTATTATAATTTAAGCTGATTAATTGAGATGTACTCCAACTTTCAGCTTCATTTCCTTTCAGGACTATATAAAAGGCAAGAAGGGGAAAAAAGTCATTCCAGGTGAACCTAAGAGAAAATTCTATGTAGTCTTAATGGAATTTATTTTTGTGCGTGCCAAGGCTCTCCAAGCAGATGACTGAAATTGGCTCATCTCCCCTTACTAAGGATCTGACCACTGACTGACTGTACATCTGGTCCTTTGTGTCTAGGGCTTGTGGCATGAGGACTGTGGCCCTTAATTGTTTTGTCTTCTGTCCTTGATACCACCAGGCCTGTGTTGACTCTAAGGACAATGAAGCTCCGTAAGGTTAAGTAATGATTTGTAAACTTTGTGCAAATAGCCAGCCCCCTGGGTAGGAGGGACATTTCAATTCTCTTGCTTTTTTTGGTACATTATTGGATTGCAAATGTTTATTTAGTATGAAAAATGGATATAATTAACTAAGTCCTAAATAGGGACTAGATATTAACTTCAAGATGAGTTTGCAGCCTTTGTGCTTTGCATACATATGACATATGCTCTTGTTATCAAGGATTTTATCTGAGAATCTAAAATGGTTTTCCACTTCCACCATTTTATAAATGAAAACCAGAGGCCTAGAAGTTATCCCACAAGGCACATATATAAAATTTGGAAAAACTTGGGTCATTGTCAGAATTAAGTTTGTTGAAATTCTATTAGGAAAACAGACTTTTTTTTCCTTGTGTTATTATTGGCTGATGTATTAATAGTTTTTACAACGCAGATACTGGTTTCATATTCAAATGTATAGATAGCATATGTTGTAATATTTCATATTCATTTCTCTAATCTTTAAAAATACAAATTAGCTCAGGGCTGGTCTTCCTCAAGCCAAAAGAAAGAGGAAGATTGACAGCAGGTGTTAACTCAGGACCAATTGTCCTCAGCAAAAAAAAAAATTCTCACTCAAAACCAATTGCACAAACAGTATGCAAAGTCAAATCACTGGGCTTCATATATATTTCATATAAATTTTAAGTGCCTTTTGAGTCATCAAAGGAAGATAGGAGCCGACCTGTGGCGTAGTGGTTAAGTTCATGTGCTCCACGTTTGCAGCCCAGGATTCACAGGTTCAGATCCCAGACGAGGACCTAGCACCAATTGTCAAGCCATGCTGTGGTGGCATCCCACATAAATAGAGGAAGATTGGCACAGATGTTAGCTCAGCAACAATCTTCCTCAAAAGAAAAAAAAAAGAAAACCTTTGATTACCTCTGATATTAAGTTACTGTTTCTGAATTATAAGTCTTTGAAAATTTGTAATTCATGCGTGACGTATACCAATCAACTATGCAATCCAGAAAACACTGGATGTTTACATGGCTGCTTGTTATGGAGAGAGTAGCCATTTAGACGTCTTTAAGCCACAACGTGGATTAAAGTGGTGTATGCACACAAGTGAAATTTAACAGATACTTTTCAGATCAGCATATGAACGTAAAAGAGCACACTTTGTCCTGAAAAAGTCATTTGAAGGTGAACTCACATCAAATTTAATAGTTTAACCATGGATGTTTTGAAATTTTAGTTATATCATAAAATAATAACATTAATTAAAGTCAGCAAGTGTGTAAAGTTTTTTAAAAAATTAATTAAACACAAAGCTTAGTAGATACTTATATTCAACAACAATAAGTGAATATTTGACACCCACCGCCATGGCCAAAATATGTAGACTGAGATTGTGTCTCGAGGATGAATGAAAAGGTGTGGGAGAGTTGGCCACTCTTAGGGAAAAGGTTTGTAAAGGGGGTGGGCACCTGGGATCCCCTAAGCTTTCGCCCAAAATACAGCCTATATCTCTTGTTGTAACCAGTTTATGCAACTTTATTTAAAGCTGGGAATCAATAGATTGTCTCCAGTACTAACAGTTAATCATTAATCAGATCATCTTTATTATCAACCAGAACTGCTTGTGTTTTCTTTTCAAAAGCTTCTTAACAATGTGATTGGAAATGTTTGAATCAATAGGTAACGAAGTCGATATGTATGTTCCTTGTCATGTGGGAGAGAGTAAAGCCTGTGTTGGGGTGAATGTTTCAGCCGGGTGTGAGTTCTGGTACAGTGTCTCTGGGCTGTGTTTCCTTGCTTCCAGGGTCCTGGAGCTTGGCCAACTCACAGGACGGGGAGGAGGAAAGGTTCGGTTTTGAGAGCCCCGGGTTTATTTCTGGCTGTTGAGATGTGAGACTGTGGGAGAAGGCATAAATATAGTTGGAGGGAGGTTGTGGACTCGGAGGTTCTCGCCAGGGCTCAACGCTGGATGGGTTTGTTTCGGGATGGGTTTGTTTATGGCTTCTTCACGCTGTTACCTCTCCGAGTTGGTGCTTCCGAGGGTCGACTCTCAGTATCTGGATCTCATTTGGTGGGTATATCGGAAGTCTCCCCCAGTGCGCCAACCACGGCCGTTCTGTTCCTTTTCTTTCTGAATTTGTAGTCAAATAACTAACTTCCTCACCTGCAAATAATGAACACCAAGCGTCTGGAGAAAAGATAGTTATGTAAATAGTAGAAGCATATAGCATTTGGGGCTGCATTTGTGGGATGGGGTTTGCAGCTCAGTCTGTGCATCACCGTCTCCACTGCTCTGAGAGTGAGCAAACGCAGCAGCCCCTGAGCCCCCTACCCCCCTGAGTCTTTTGCTTCTTTATGGGTTGGTCACAGATTTCCCCTGTGTGAGTTCTGAATCCCTTTACCTTGCATCCACCCATGTTCAGGAAGTCCCCCATCCAGCTACTGCCCTGGGTCAGCCTCCAGCCTTGCAGACGGGTGCTCTCTGCTGTTAGCAACTTGGGGGCTCTGCCCAGCCGACCTGACCATGCCTCTCCTCATCCCGAGGCACTTGCCTGCCTTCACCGGCGGCACTGACCTCACTCCAGCGCTGGCCCTGCCTCCTCAGCCCTGTTGCTTGCTCCCCAGACTGTGAATCAACCTGGTCTTGGAGCATTTTACCCACCTTTGTGGCCAGCGTGTGTTGCTTCCATTTGTTAGGGAGTGTTAAGCATGCAGTCTCAAGAAAAACTGCCCAGAGGAGATGACTTCCTCAGGAGAAATGTAGATGATAAGTTCCTTAAGGAGAAACCACGTTTTATTACTGAGAGGCAATGCTGTGTTCTAGTGGGACTTCTGGTTCTGAAGTCAGTTTGTAGTCTAGCCAGGTGACTTGCCTGGTGTGTTACCCTAGCCAGGCGACTTGACCTCTGCACAGTGTCCATCTGAAAAATTGGAATAATAATATCTACCTCATTGGGTAGATAATGAGTATCTACCTCATTGGGGTTGTTATGAGGAATAACTGAGCAGACTCATCTGTGTAAATCTCTTGAACAGTGGCTTGTACATAGGGAGCATATAGTAAGTGTCAGCTGTCCTTGTGCCTCCACATTAAACACTATGGTTTATACCTAATTGGTGCTTATTAAATATTTTGTTGAGTAATTGTAATGTTCAGAGGTAGACAAATGATTTGTTCATTTCTTACCATAAAATGAAAATAATATTTGTTTGCAATAAAGCATTGTAGGCATAAGACATTCCCTCCCTGGTGGGGGCCTGGCTAGTAGGATGTTCCAAATTCAGTATCAATAACCATGGGCCTATGATTTATTAATCAGACCTGTCATACCCGGCCAGTCAGAAATCTATGTTTACTGGCTCCCAAGGTAACTCTGCAAGGGAAAAACAGCTCAGTGAGGTGATTTATTTCCAGTAAGCATTGTTACGGGAACATTTTGAACTCTAGCATGTGGGATGGCTATGTTAATGAGGCTCTGCCCTTTCCTTATGGATCGCTCTGCCTTCTAACTTGTGTTTGCTTCTAAGGTAGGAGATGGGTAGAAAAATGCTCTTTAAATGAATAGGTTCTTGCTTCTTCCTAGCCCACTCAGTGCCTAGCGTGGGGCCACGCAAGTAGTAGTTGCTCAATAAATGGGGTTTTAAGTTAATAAGTAAATTCATGGGACATTTTCTTTGCATTACATCACCTGGACAGCTGGAAGGTGCTTGTGAGGAGGTTTTGTTTGTGATTTTCCCCCAGGCAGGTTAGTATGCCAGACATGATTGTTCCCTCTTGCTGATGGGGTACTGAATTTGAGGGCTACTCTCAGAGTTTCTGCTCATCTACGATAAGAGGAACAAATGGTCCCCAAATGGTCCCGATGAGATGGTGGGGGAAGGGCACTGCCACTCAGGTTTGATGAAGTGTCTTGGCCGTCCTCAGGATGAAGATCACAGCTGTCACAGAAGGGAGGTAAGTCATTGTTTTTTAAGTTAAGAAAGTTAGTTAAAAAGTTTACGCTGATAATAGTTCGTGTGGCAAGGACTGAAGAATATTTATCTTTGTGTTCTCTTGATAGGGACAGGGGCTGTGATCCTAAAGACAAGAGTTTTTAACCCAGAACCTGGAGATTACAATTTGGAAAAGATGGTTTTTAAAAAGTGATCATGTCCACAAAGGTGACAAGAACATGAACCTGAAGTCCTTTATCGGTGTGTAAGTGCTTCTTTTCATTCTAAAAATATTTATTGATTCTAAAAGCAGTTTATGTAACAGAATTGTAACAGTATTAAGTATCCTTTTTCTTTATGGAGAACTTGGAAGAGCTTTGAGCAAACACACACACATACTCAGTCAAACAAAATGCCTTGCCTTACCTTTTTAAATGCCATTTATGTTGCCTGTTGTCATTTTAATAACATTTCCTTTTTTTTTTCTTTTAGGTCTCAGTGTATTCCAGAATATCTTTTTGGCAGTCAAATCCGCCTCTGGTACCCAACTTAAAAAAAAATAAATTTACCACAACTAGAAGGACCTGCAACTAAGATATACAGCTATGTACCAGGGGGGATTTGGGGAGATAAAGCATAAAAAAAATTAAAAAATAAAAAATAAATTTATTTCAATGCAAACAAGTATAGTCTGGTTCTTGTGGGACAAGATTATCTTACCAGATGGTTTGAAGAATTCATCGTTTCACAAAAAGAAGAGAGGCGTCTACGATTCCCTTCTTGCCTCTTTCTCACGTCTCTCTCACCCAGATTGAAGCAGCCCATTTAAAACCTGATCTTCATAAAAGGAAGCGCTGTTGCAGAGCCCCCTTTGTTGGCCATCTGACTGCTTTTGCTGTCTTTCTGCCCTGTGCGCATGTGCAGGAATCAGCCCTGACAGCAGAGCCGTCTGCTGACAGTACAGGGAGACCGGCACATGGCGGGAAGGTGCAGGTTTTACTGAATAGAGCACTGAACCATTTTCTTATGAAGGATAGTATGTACTTGGGGGGAGAAAGTCCAATTTCTAGTTAGTTCCAGATGATTCACCACGCAGAAAGCGTCTTCTCTCACTAGTGTTTGGGTCTTAGTAAATAAAGGGAGTGTTCTGTGTTGAATCCTGGCTTGACAAGAAGGAGGTAGTAATTGATCAGGAATTCTGTTTTTTTCAATGAAAGCAGTTGCTTAGAATGAGATGACTGTACATCAGGATACCTTTTCGTAGGACCATTTTTATCATCTTACCCACAGACTTAGTCTTTGCTGTCAGACTTTACTCATAGGGATTTATTAACAGCAATGGTTGGTTTTTAAAAAAGGGAAAAGATAGACATTTAGTTGAAGTACAGTTGGCAGATTTTGACCATTCAGGGGTGGTTTCTCTACGGAGTATCATTTAGAGGCTAACAAATGCTTTTTATGACTTTGTCTGGTACAGGAATGGCAGCCCTACGTAGGTTCCTCTTCATTTATTCCCTCTCTGCAGCCTCCCCAGCACTCTCTCTCTTTTCTTTTCCTTCCAAATTCGGTTCCCATCAGTCAGGTATCTGAAGAGCAGGCTGAGTCCTGTCCCCAGTATGGGGGGATGCCAGTCCAGCCACATTCTTCTATTCCTCTCTGCCCCAGGAGAGGACAGTCACCCTGACTATCTTGGGAGGGAGTGGGGTCCGAGCCCAGACTGCAGTTGGCTCATTCACCTGTTTACTCGGGGCCCAGGTTGGGCTCTAGTTCCTCATTTTCTTCACAGCTTCTGCCTCCCGTGGGCTAGGATTTCTCTGTTTCAGGGGCTCAGCACTGGGCACTGTGCAGTGATGCTCCCAGCACCGTTCTTGGGAGCTTTGGACTCCTTGGGTGCAGGTGGTCCCAAGTTGTCAAGTCCCATCATGCCACGGCCCTTAGCGCCACAGGGTGATCTTGATGGGACGTACATCCTACAGCCTGATTCCATGAGGCCTGGGACCCTGCAAGCAGGAGGAGTTGGGAGGCCCCTGAGAGGTCAGAGCCTGAGCTTTGAACCCAGACGCTATGGAGTTAAAATCTGAAGGACACAGAGATCACAAGAAAGACACCGAGAGAGTCTGGAGACACTGAGTCAGAGGCGAAGGAATCCAATATTGCAAGAGGAGAATGTGCTTGGGAGGGTAAGAAGTTTGGCTGCCTTCTGAGTAAAAGTGGCATTCTGTTTGTTAGCCAAAAATACATCAGATCTTGAACATGACTGAGGTCAGAGAGCTGTTGCTATACCAGGAATCAGAGAATTACAGAGTTGGAAGGGTCCTCAGAGAAGTGTCTCTGGCAAGCCCCCTCATTTTACAGATTCAGGAACGAGGCCCATAAAGTTCATCGTGTTCTCTTAATGTTTTGTATAATTTCTGCTGTGCCTTCAGTGATGGCATCTTCTTCCTTCTGAACCCAAAGAGGTTGAGGGGCTTCCTCTTGCCCACTCTGGAGGGAGCTCTTGGGGCCCCTCTTGCCTGCCTCACCCCGTGACTTTGGTCCCAGAGTAGTGGGCACAGCAGGGGAATTGGCCTCTGCTGAACTTTTCTCTCCATGCCCGCCTCCTTGCCCCATCTCTACCCGCCCTGCAGGAATTTGGAGCCCTCCCCATGGGGGTGTGAAGCCACTGGAATGTGACACTCTGACCCCTGGCAGTTGAGTGTCCTGGATGGACCTGGCCTGGGAAACAGGAAGGACTCAGGGGAGGGGGGAAGAGTGCCCCATGGCCTTGGGGTGGGACGGAAGGAAAGGAAGTGCTGGGCAGTGTGACTTTCCCAAGTAGGCCCAGCTGACTTCCACAGCACAGGAGACCAGGCGGGCAGGGACACTGGGCTGGCAAACTGAATAGGTGGGTTTCCCCAGGCCAGGCCCATGGGTGGGGGCCTCTGGGAGTGCTGGGCCCCAGGGGGTGAGCTCCCAGAGCAATTGGGGTGAGGAGAGGATTTGAGGGGAAGAAGGGAGGAGCAGACCAGAAGGCAGAGGAAACTTGTGGGAGATGATGAAGGTGAAGGAGGTGGATGGAAAGAAGCAATGTACGTTTCTCACCTTAGAAACCAAGTATGTCAGAAGGTGGGCAAGACCTTCCTAAGGAAACTTCCACCCCGTTCTGAGACCCTGGTGCTTTCTGTGTGTGTGTGTGTGTGTGTGTGTGTGTGTGTGTTTTGAGGAAGATTAGCCCTGAGCTAACTGCTGCCACTCCTCCTCTTTTTGCTGAGGAAGACTGGTGCTGAGCTAACATCGGTGCCCATCTTCCTCTACTTTCTATGTGGGACACCTGCCACAGCATGGCGTACCAGGTGGTGCCATGTCCGCACCTGGGATCCAAACCGGCGAACCCCGGGCCACCAAAGTGGAACGTGCGCACTTAACCGCTGTGCCACTGGGTCGGCCCCCCCCGGTGCTTTTTAACATGCTCACTTTTGGCAAGACAGAATCGTAGAAAGCCAGGGTTAGTGAAGGGGGTGGCTGCACATGATGGACCCCCCCTTACCACCCTCAGATCAGTTACCTCCCTTGAAATGATTTTCAAAAACCTGAGGCCCGGCCTCAGCGTGATGATGTGTCCCCCAGCTCCTTGCCTTCCTCTGGGATAAGGGAACCCTGCTTCCTCCCACTTGAAGCCTGTTGCAGAACCAGGATGCAGAGCAAGGACTTGGAACTGCCTCCTGCAAGCCCTTGTGAAACCATGAGCAGATGATACTGTTGCCAAACTGCACGTGAGGTTTGCCAGAATGGCAAGCGAGCTTTTCTTCGTTGGGGATGTTTAAAATTAAATTCCACGCTCGTGGGAAAGGAATAGAAACTATAGGTGACACAGTGTTTCTGAAACACCTGTTAAGGAGGCGAGAACTAACTGCCACCGTACCTGAAGGGATCAGCCTTCCTTTGTGACTGCAGTCTGTGTGCCGAGTCAGTTGCCTCTTCCTGTGCCCAGGGTGTCTTGGACCATAATTAGTGTTCCGTGGTCATGCCCCATCCTGTCTGAAGTGAAGGTGCTCATCTCCCTTCCTCCTTTCTCACGTGATGTTGTTCAGAGCCCTGGGAACAGTGGCCCTGATGCTGAGTAGGAATGTCTTGGTCATTAGACTCATTCATTGGGCCTGCACAACAGGGTCTGTGGCACCCCTTTCTCCACCCAACTGATACCAAAAGCCACCAGGAGAGGCCCAGTAGGATGCTGCAGGCAGGGCAGCAGGTAAGCAGGCCAGGTCTCACTCCTCAAGGTGTGCATCTCAGGTCTGCCCTGAGAACCTACCGATCTTCTCTACGTTTGGGTGTTTAAAGAGCTGAATTATTAAAGAACACGTTAAGTGCTTATATGTGACTTTAAAGCTACGTATCTGTATGCATGCTAATCCTTTGAAAATTGGTGATCTTTATTGTTAGCTAAATAGGAAATGGATTTCATCAGAGCCTCTTTTGGGAATTGACTACATTTGGTATTTCCTTTTATATCCTAAAAATGATTAGCTCTTGAAATGTGTATTGAACCTAAGAGGGAATAATATTTAACCTTTCAGGTAGGAGTTAAGGTTGGTGTAGTTCCACAAATTGTGAGTTTCATTATTTGGACAATTTTCTGATGACTTCTTTTACACTCTAAAGACTAACTTTAAATAGAATAACACTACAGGAGTACGATCTTGAAAAATCCGCCTACCTAACTGCATATGGGAGTACATATTGCTGTAGCATGTGGAAAAAGGACTGGGTACTCACATGGGTTGTATTTATGTTTCCTTTTGGAAGCAAATCAGTTATTCTCTGTATGTGTATGTTTCTGCATGCATGTGTTTTAACTTGAAATGTAGAAATATATAAAATTTTCTATAACTTTGACACTATATATCTTTTTCTTTTTGGTGAGGAAGATTAGCCCTGAGCTAACATCTGTTGCCAATCCTCCTCTTTTTGCTGAGGAAGACTGGCCCTGAGCTAACATCTGTGCCCATCTTCCTCTATTTTATATGTAGGATGTCTGCCACAGCATGGCTTGACAAACAGTGCCTAGGTCCGTACCCAGGATCCAAACCTCCAAACCCTGGGCTGCTGAAGTGGAGCGTGTGAACTTAACCACTACACCACCAGGCCAGCCCCATACGCTATATTTTAAAATACCTGAAAGGTGCCTGCTTCCTAAGTCCCTGCTAGGCATGAATTACTATAAAGTTTATTTTTC